TTCACATGTTAGAGGATCTACTGAATAATAAAATTGATGAATATCACATTCAAATGTTTTTATGGAGACAAGAGGAACTAAAATGGTATTAGATTAATTTAGCGTAACTAAATCTCTATACTTAGAATCTTTGGTTCGCAAGAATAAGGCAAACTCCCGTATCTTACTTAATATTCTAACCAACCATAATGGGTGGGTTCGGTCGGGTTCAATATAGTCCAACCCAAATTGACCCAATTACATGCAATGCACACTTAGCGACCATACCCGATCCGGACTCCAATTCTAGCAATTTTTCTCTTTAAATTGTTTGAAGAATAGGCGGTTTCGTGGATTGGCTCGCCGAGTTGATGTGGGAAATCGGGTGCTTAGGTCGGATCCGATAGTGGGTTATGGACAGAAGCGTAAAGATGGCGGTGAGGCAAAGGTGGGTGGGTCTTGCCTAGGTTACGAGCAACGCACTCTCTCTCGTGAACCGGTTCACTAGGCATCAGTTGACCAAGTTAAGTTCCCGCAAAGTGCAAGAACATATGCATACAAATGAACATTGTACTTGTACTAGCCTTGCCTTGTCGACTTCAGGGTGCCATGGGTAATAGTCATTTGTGCTTTAATATGAACCGGTAGCTTTTTTTTTGTCGGTATACCTGGTTCTTGAATGGACTATATAGCTGTAGTTTTCCCTTTAAAAGCTTACACATCTGCTCCGATCTACGAAGCTTACAGGCCAACACTATCGAATCTTGACTTGGATCCGGTCGCCTTTTATTCAATATTCCCATTAAAATTCAATTATGTTTCGTAATATTTCATTTGTGGTCGAGTATTTCATGTGTAGGGAAAATACTCATTCATAATAAAATGAGTTAATACCGCAAAAAATCCCAAACTGATATATTTGTGATAATTTTACTCCGAATTAACTTTTTCACTATAAAAAATTCTAAATTGGTATATATGTGATAATTTTACCTCGAACTATTTTTTTGACAATCAAAAACCCCATATTTGTGCACATATGATAATTTTACCCAAAATTAATTTTTTGACCACCAAAAACCCCAAACTGGTACGCATTTGATAAATTTATTATCCGTTAGTTTCCGTTAAATTTTATTGTCAAATTGCTAAGTTTGATGACATGTAGTGGTTGACAGGTGTACCAGTTTGGGGTTTTAACAAACAAGTTTATCAATTTGTGATTTTTCGTGATATTAATCGAATTTAACGGAGGGTAAATTTGTCACAAATATACCAGTTTGGGGTTTTTAGTGATCAAAAAATTAGTTTTGGGTAAAATTGTCACAAGTATACCAGTTTGGGATTTTTTGTAGTAAAAAAATTAGTTCGGGGTAAAATTATTACCAGTATACCAGTGTGGGGTTTTTTATGGTCAAAAAAATAGTTCGGGGTAAATTTATTACGAGTATACAAGTTTGGAGTTTTTAGTTGTTAAAAAATTAGTTCGTGGTAAAATTATCACAGGTGTACCAGTTTGGGATTTTTCATGATATTAATCCTAAAAATAAAATATATTATTTCTAAAAACATCTACTTTTCACAAGTGCGATAAAAATGAAGATTAATCAAACCAAATAAGGGCTAATTTACACACTTAGAAAAACAAAAAACAAGAAATATATAATTAAAAAGACGAAGTTTTAAAAAGAAAAAAAATAATTTTTTAAAATTGAAAATTAGAAAAAGAAAAGGAAAAAAAAAAAAGCAGCTCAGTAGCAACGACCACTGCCAACTCTGGCAAGGATCCTCGACCACCGTCAGAGCAATGATGAGGGTTGCCAATCCTTGTCCACCGTTGGAGAGAGGCCTCGACATAGGAGTATTTGGCGGAAGGACCTCGACATCTCTCGAGCGTAAAACACATAAATGGTATTCTCTCCTTTTATAGAAGATAAAGATTAAAAGGGAATTAGGAGGCTTGGTATGCGGTCACTGACATATTGAAATAATTTTATCATACAAGAATTTCATTTTATTTTTGAAAACAAAGATTTACTAAAATGAGGTCTACCCTACATTTATTGTATATGACTCACAACAATTAAGCTTTTGACCTGCTGCTTGTACGTAAATGATCGGACCTTTACTCGTACACAGAAGCTCCTTCCGCCAAATACTCCTTTGTCTCAAATACTCCTCATTTCATAAATGTGTATCAATCGGCCTCTTAAATCGAAAGTCGAGGTAAAAAGTCGCTGACCATGGTGCATTTGTCACGGGCTGACATTTTCTGCCGAATAGCTCGTGTGACATCTGATGAGCTGAGAATACTAAGCCAGCATTCCTTTTAACGATTATTTCTAAATACAGTATGGCGAATAGTATCCTTACAATCGATCATACTACGCCAAGTTTAGCTCAGGCATCCGGTTCTTCGAACAAGACATACAAAACACTCCTAATAATTGGCTTCAGTTTGTCATGACCTTATCGTGAGAGCGGCATCAGCTCCTAATCAATTTATGTTCACTTTGAAATATAATCTACTTAAGAGCCGAAGCAGAGCGCGCAAGCACATAAATAGTTAGAATAAGTTTAAGGAATTCTAACTTAGATGAGTCATTCGCCCGGCTTAGCTCTATCCAATCCAACCCAAATTAAAAAAAAAATTCTCTTTGGAATTGGCACGCTCCTAATTAATAAACCCAAATAAAAAGAAGGAAATATCACAAGGGCAAAAAGGCATCTTAGTGATTATTTTATTTGTAAATTACTAAAAAAATAAAACGTCAAAATCAAAGATGATAATATATGTAAGTTGGAAAAAAAAAGGAGGGTTGGCGTATTATCCCAAAGGTGGTGAGGAGTCGGCAACTGGAGTCTTTGACTTTGAACAAATACGTCACTATCGAATGCGAGATGAACCGAACCCCGCGCGCTCACTTTGGATTGGACAGAGACCGGGTCTCTCTCTCTCTCTCTCTCTCTCTGTGAGACTTGAAGCCTGCACGGAAGAAAAAAACACATAATTAACTTTATTCAAAATGGTCCTTTCTTGGGCCAGTTTCTTTTTGTGGCCATTTAAGCTGCGAATAATAACTATTTTATTTTTTCATTTTTATTTCAGAAATAGATTTGAAATAGAAATCTATTTGATAATGTAATTTCAATTTCTATTTTTAGAACAAATTTTTATTCCAGAAATAGGTTTGGAACAGAAATCAGAAATTAAAATTTTTTGCTTTTCTATTTCTGGAACAGAAATGAGAAACAAAATTTTTTTGATCTTCTCATCGCTTTCCCTTACTACTAACCGATTGCCTACCCGCTGCCCATCGCCAGCCGCCGCCCGCCGTGGGCTGCCGCCGCCTGCCGTCCACTGGCCACTGTCTCCTGCTGCCAACCGCCCTCCTCTCGCCGTCGCTTGCCTCCCACCGTTGGCCACCGTCTCCTGCTGCCGCCTACCCTTCTCTCCTTGCCGGCAGTTGAAGCATCCACAGTCTCCTGTCGCCACCCGCCTCCCACCCTAGCCTCCCTTCTCCCGTTGCCACCTACCTCCCACCGCCGGCCACCGTCTCCCACCGCTGCCCACCCTCCTCCCGCCACTATCCGCCGCCCACCGGCCACTTAAGAAGGAGAAAATTTGTGTCATTATCAAACAAATTTATGTTTCTAGAACATAAATTTTGTGTCGTTATCAAACTTATTTTTTTGCTCAGAACTCCTCTAGAAACAGAAATAGAAAAAATCAATTTCTGACCAAAAATTGATTTCTGAAACATAATGGTTACCATTCGCAGCCTTAAGTGGCTACTTCTATGATGCTTTCTTTTGGGCTCTAAAGAATGGAGTTTCAGCTGTAGTTGGTTGGTTCTAATGCAGTTGCGGCTGTTATTTAAATAAGAGAATACTTTCAGTTCCATAAATTCCCCCAGTAGAATTAGTTATATGTGACTTTCTCCATGCTAGGAATAACTTAAGGAAAAAAAAATCTCACTTTTGTTGCATTGAACGAAAACCAACCTTTTGTTTTGCCTTTGTGGAAAGCTTAGGGTACACATGGCAAAATTTCTATGCTCGAAATCCGATTCTGCTCAGAAATGATTCTTTTTTATTATGTGCCTAGAAACTGATTCTAAGCATTTAAAGGCGTTTGGTAACGGCCCAAAATTTCCATTCCTAGAATAGTAAAAAAACATAAATGCGTTTAATAATGGCACAAAATTTTTTCATATTACTAATATTTTTAAATATTTTAATTTTTCTTCTCTCCATCTTGGCCATGGCCTGGTTGCTGGTGAGGGCGTTGCAGCCCACGCCGACCACAGGCCTGGGTGAGGGCCGCCTTCGCCAAATCCGGTGAGGGCTGGACCCTCACGGCTTGGGCGAGAGTTGCCCTCGCCTAAGCCGGCAGCGGCGAGGGTGGCCCTCGAGGCTGGCGGCCTGGGCGAGGGCCGCCCTCGTCGGATCTGGCGAGGGTTGGATTTTCGCCGCTGCCCTCACCAGATCCGGCGAGGGTGGCCCATCGCCCAGGCCGCCAGCCTCGAGGGCGGCCCTCACCAACTTGGGCGAGGGTCGCCCTCATCGCTGCCGTCCTGCGCAAGGGTCGCCGCGAGGGTCCACCCTCGCGGGATCCGGCGAGGGGGACCCTCGTGGTCGCCAGCGACTGGCCATAGGCCAGTAAAAGTAGAAGAAAAAGAAAAAGAAAGAAAAAAAATGATTCTTATTTTTTTTTTCGAGAACCAGGAAACTACTTTTATTTTTATTTTTGATTTTGCTTCAAAACTGATTTTGGGAACAAATTTTTGCAAAATTGTGCCAATAATCAAAAAATTTAACAAACGGATTTCTATTCTCAAATTGATTCTGCGAATAAAAAAATAAATTTTTTTACTATTTGGTTAGTTATCAAAAGGGTCCTTAACGAGTGCAGTCACGCGGAACAATCAAAAGGGTGGGATAAAAAACAAAAGAAAAAATTTGTCATTGAGCATGAAAAACAAAAAGTTAAAGCTAAGGCAACAAAGCAAAGCAGTGTGGGTTCTGTACTGTCTTGGCTTGTCCGCCCACTGAACACAGTCTCTCTCTCTCTCTTTCTCACTCTCAAATTGGACTTTTTATTTATAAATTAAAGAAATTCTTTTGGCTTTTGTTTGGTGCTTCCCATACATATGCCTGTCCGCCGCTACTTCTGCTCCCTCGTAACAGTACCTGCAAATGGAGGAGGAATCCCTCTATGAGTCCCTTGTTATGATTTGCTTCACCTCCTTTTTTCCCTTTTCATCTTCCACTCACTCATCTTTGTCCATACACTTCATTCCTCTTAATCATGATTTGAACTCATTTCTCAGTTTCACGCCCTCCTGATTGCTCAAAGGTTTCATCTTTCTTGATGTTCCTCTCTCCTCTCAGCGAAAAAGCTGGATTTTTAGTTGAGCTCGTGTTGAACATCAATTGGAAGGAAAGTGGATCTTCATGGAAGTTGATCTGAATCATGCAGTGAGTGATGTAGAGAACCGCGGCAATGCATGTTGTGATGGGCATTGTGAGAAAGGCAATGGTTGTCTCCACTGTTTGTCTTCCACTATTTCAAACTCTTCATCATCATCCTCCTCATCCACTGTGCCTTGCTCAATCGACTCTGAGCTCTGGCATGCTTGTGCTGGACGACTTACCTCACTGCCCAAGAGAGGGAATGTGGTCCTGTACTTCCCACAAGGCCACTTGGAACAAGTTGCCCCGGCTTCTCGTTATTCGCCCATGGAGATGCCCACCCTTGATCTTCCGCCACAAATCTTTTGCAGAGTTGTGAACGTTCAGCTACTGGTGAGTGCTCCTGTTTTTGAAGTTATCTGGCAGCTGCTAAACTTTGCTTCTTCATGTGCCTCTTGCCAATTGCACTTTGTGATACACAGGCTAATAAGGACAATGATGAGCTATACGCACAAGTCACATTGCTTCCTCAATTAGAGGTATGCGTTTCTTAAGCAACCCATTGGTTAATCATCTGTCATTTACTTTTCGTATTTTTGGAGGTAGAGTATATGATGTATAGGTACACTATAGTAGGCTCTATAGTTGGCTTTCTGGGTAAAAATTTTGTTTGGGGATTAAGAACAAATGTATTGCTATCTTGGGTACGGCACAAATTTTGTTTCTATTGTAGATGATGACACTTTCATTTACTTTGTAGCTGGTAGGGTTAGATTCTGAAGGCAGAGCTCTTGAGCTGGGGGTAGATGAGAAAGATATTGGAGGATCACCTCCAAGATCAACTCCTCACATGTTCTCTAAGACACTCACAGGTTCTGATACTAGCACCCATGGAGGGTTCTCTGTCCCGCGTCGAGCAGCTGAAGATTGCTTTCCCCCTCTGGTATTACCATGATGTTCTGCTTCACCTTCTTTGTTACTAGGTTCCTCTGTGTTTTAGTAAGAGCTCCTTGTACAGAAGCTAAATCCTTTAGGTTGCAGGACTATAAGCAGCAACCGCCTTCTCAGACACTTGTCGCCAAGGATTTGCATGGAGACGAATGGGGGTTTCGCCATATTTATAGAGGTAATGTTTCGAATCTCAAGGTGTAAATTTGATTTGATGTCCAAGTTGTTAAAGGTTGGTGTTTGCTTTTCCTCAGGCCAGCCAAGAAGGCATCTGCTTACCACAGGATGGAGTGGTTTTGTGAGCCAAAAGAAGCTTGTTTCTGGGGATGCAGTGCTTTTCTTGAGGTGCATATGCTGATTCTCTCATATTACTGTATTGTTTGGACAGAATACTTAGCGATAGTCATGTTACTGTCACTTGTAGAAAGGATGAAATATCCAGTAAATAATTTCCGAATAATTAGCTAACAAAAATAATCGAGCTCCTGTCCTTTGACTATATGTCCACTGAATCATTTTAGGGGAGAAGACGGCAAACTGAGATTGGGGATAAGAAGGGCGCTCCGACCAAGGAATGGTCTTCCTGGTTCAACTGTCAGTGACCAGAGTCTGTGCCTTGGCGTTCTTGCAGCTGTTGCACATGCTGTATCCAGCAAAAGCGTTTTTCAAGTATTCTACAGTCCAAGGTAATTGTAACTCAGAAATATTGGATTTGTTAACTTTGTAGTCACGATCCTGGACCTGTTTGTATCAGACCTTCAATTGAAACTGGACGATATTTAACTCACATAAGACCAGCTTCTTATTAAGAAAGAGAGAACGAAATGAATTACATGCATATACAGTCTAAAATGTTGTCGTGATGATAAAACTGAGTACAAACATTTGAAATTGAGAATTACTTTTTCCATCAACACAGGAAATAGATCAAAAGGGTTTCATTATTAACTGTGTGAGAATCGTATTATGGGATGTTGCTATTTATGAAATGCTGGTTGAACAATGGGTTAGGTTTTGATCCCGTGAGTCTACTCCAACCTCAGCAAAAGAAAAAGATCGAGCAATGAAAAGTGAAGCAAAATTATGGAGTTGTGTACTATTCACGATTACAGGGATTGTACTTGTCACAACAGGACAGTGTAGTTTCAGGTTGAGAGTCACTCAGCAGTTATATGAAACTGCTAAGATTTTACATATTATATCAATTTTTTACCATTGCAAGAACTTGATAGTGTTGCCAACATGGCAGTGGCTGATTATATATATATATATTTTAGAGAAATAGTAGCAGTCGGTGAATTTGCAGTGTCAACCATAGCTGTGTGTTCCACTTTTAACTGAGAATCCTGAGGGTGAGAGATCTCACGGCCTCACATGTGGTCAATGCCTAAAGTCTGTGCTTGGAATAGTTAGTCACATAAGTTCCTTTGAAGTCTCATGGACATGGCTCAGGGACTGTGGTTGATCTCTTTCAGTGTAGTTGAATCACTGAATTCGAAGTACTACTTGACGAGAGTTCCATGTCTTATCATTCAAGTGACGTGCCTTACTTGGCTGTAGGCCTATAACTCTGCCATTGACTGCACAAGGGTTTTATGTTCCTGGAATATCAAATGGGAACCTGTCCTCGAAATCGATTCTCTCTTCTTCATTTACACTTGACTCGTAAATGTGTTGACCTTTGAGAACACTTGACTTGTCAATAGGTGCACAACCTGAATGTTGTATACTTCCTTTCCACGCAACTATATTTGCTTTCTGATAAAATGGCAAAATGCAGGGCAAGCCATGCAGAGTATGTTGTTCCCTATCAGAAGTATGTCAGAAGCATCAACAACGTGATATGCATCGGGACAAGGTTCAAAATGAGAGTTGACGTAGATGATGCACCGGAAAAGAGGTTTGTCTATGGCTATATCACATGGCGGAAATAATCTCTATTCTTCCTTTGAATGCCACCTTGTCTATCTGAATGCCTATCCTGTTTGGTTGTTTTTTTAGGTGTACCGGTGTAGTGACTAGGATAGGCGACTTGGATCCTTATAGGTGGCCCAACTCAAAATGGAGATGCCTAATGGTAAGCATTTGCTGCCAGAGATATGGTTGGCTGAAACATCAAAGTTTGCTTCCTTTGTATGGATTGCCCTGTCAGCTGTTCTTTCTGGTGATGTGATTTTGCCATATTTAAGTTATCTCAACTTTCTTACTTCTGGTTCTTCTCTTCAAGTCCGACTCTTGCATTTTTCCTTTCTTTATATAGCTACTTCTGCTGCTTTATTAGTTGAAGAACATGAATAATGTGTCTGTTAAAATATCTATCAGATAGTTTGATCCTCTCTAACCTTTTCATCTGTAACTTTGAGGCCAATTTTTGTAACAACTTTGGTTTCTCTTGTTTGATAATGTCCATGGCAAGCTTCTGTATTAGTGCTCTACATGGAATTTGAATTGCTTGAGCATTCAGTATGTGTTCTTGTATCCAAGGGGTTTACTTTCCTGGAAACTGGGTCCAACATTATGTGCTTGCAGTAGGATATGAAAAATCTTCTGAACTTGTAGTCTCATGAGATGATAATGTTCAATGACTCAACAGGTTCGATGGGACGACGATGTCATGAATGGTCATCAAGATCGAGTCTCACCCTGGGAAATTGATCCATCCGTTTCCCACTCACCTTTGAGCATTCAGTCCTCCCCAATGTTTAAAAAGCTGTGGACTAGTCTGCCAACATCCCCGCCTGTCAACCCTCTCACTGGTATGTCAAAAAAAAAACCCTCTCACTGGTAAAAGAAAATGAAACTTGAAAAGGAAGTTTCCCATATCCACTTCTATTTTCACAGAAACGTTAACGATCCCTCGTAACTTCTGGAAACTATCTTTAAGTGGTTTTTGCATTTTACTGCTTTTACCGTTGAGGATAGGCCTGTCATCGATGGTAATAAATGTGAACTTTATAGATGGCTGATGATTTTCTGTGCAGGTGTTTTGTGGAAGCAGTGTGAAATGGGATCGTTCAAATTATGTTTGTGTTTCCTTCCTCATGCTGTGGGACTTACTTTTGTTTATTATAGATCTTTCTTCTTTAAGCAAGATTTCAAGGGAAGCTCTTACTTGATTTATTATTGCAGGCAACCAGGAGATGGTCCCTGATAAGGTCAGTATTTACCTTTCTGTGCCTCCTTTTCAGAAATCAAAGGATAGACAGGGTTTGTAAGTTAAGCATTTATGTGGCACAATCTTTCTTTTATAATAGTAAGAAACAGGGTACGCTAGTCCGTTTAGGCTTTTTGATGCTTAGTAAACCAGATTAGTTGTAACATTTTTCCACAATGGAGACAGGGGTTTTACGGTCCTGTCTTTAGCTTAGATGGGATGCATGGAGTGAGCGTTGGCGGAACTTCTTCAGAAGTTATCTTCATCTACCTAGGGGTGTCAATGGGTCGGGTCGGGTCAGCTTCCACTACTACCCGACCCGACCCAAATCATAAGTGTTCGTGCTCTCTCTGACCCGAACCCAACCCGAATCGCATAGGACCCGTACTAAAAATCCGGTTCGGGTCGGGTCGGGTTTCGGGTTTTTGCGTGGGTTTTTCAGAGGGTGCGTTTAGAAGCAAGTCTAGTAAAAACTTTTTTTTATAGAGTGGGTATTTATTAAGCCGCTCGTCACTTTGAATACAACTAAATTGCTTGTGCTGAAATCAACTTGTGTACAAGAGCTTTTTAACATAAACCGTAAGCTTCACCATCTTTAACGCCCGAAAAGAGTAGAGAATCCAATTGCACTGGAAGCAGCAACAACATCCAACAATCTAGAAAAGGAGCTCAATTGCCATAACAAATAAATACCTTTTCCCCCATAGAATTAAGCGATGAACTAAAAGACAAATGATTCGGAGTAGAGAACTGCGAAGGCTCCTCATTGAAGTTAATAGAAAAACATACGAAACCTCCTCATCGAAGGACGACCAAGATGGAGGCGGAATCAACGCCGGCGACCAAGGGGGAGACCAAGATGGCCTCGATTGAGGGGTTGTGGAAGGAGACGAATCGTTCCGTAAGAGAGAGAGTGTATCGCGAATTAATACTTAGGGTTTCAATTCAATATTGGTAAACTAACATATTTCGGTTCGGTTCATGTTATGACCTGAACCGAACCGAACCGAACCGAACCAAACCGAAACAAGTCACAATACCCATTTTATAAATGTATACCTGAACATAGTAAGACCCGAACCGAAAATACCTTAAAATTTCAGGCCGGTTCGGGTCAGTTCGTGTTTCGATTCGGGTATTGTGTTTGGTTTTGACACCCCTACCTATCTACTCTATCAGCTAAACATTAGTTGCAACATCTCCTCTAACAAGGCATATAATTGATTGGCAGGCACATTCAGAGGTCACGTTTGAGAGAATGGAGGTTATCTTCATCCACCTATCTACTCTATCAGCTAAACATTAGTTGCAACATCTCCACTAACGAGGCATATAATTGATTGGCAGGCACAATCAGAGCCCACGTTTGAGAGAATGGTGTTAATATCTGGAAGTTACAGTACATCTGTAAATTTCTTCACTACTCTGCCCCTCTCTACTAAACTTACATTCAGTTAGGAGCTTAAAGAGAGTCAAGTATTGCAAATAATTAGCTTATTGGACAGGACAGTAAACGGCTTGATAATGCACCGTGAGCATTTGTTTCTCTCCTTCTCCTTCATTGCCTAGAGGTTTGAAGACTTTGGAATACTACTTTATCGCTCTTGCACATTGGTTAGGTTGCGGCAGGGTCTGTTAGAGAGGAACTCTTAGCTTCGTCTAGGCTAAAATGCTCAAAGCGTTTTGCTCTGGTACCATTTTCTGGGTTATTTGGAAAGAAAGATAGGTGGGCTTTTAAGAATGAGGAAAGTTCTATAGGTGCTGAAAGGGATGGTTGGCTTTCCACCTTACTTTTTTGGCATAGAGGGGGCAGTTTTAAGATGCCAAGTCTTTCTTGAATTGCTTAGATATTTCCTAATGCCTAGAGTGTAAATGGGAGGCCCATTTGGTGCTCTTGAATATACTCGCCAAATAAATTTAGAAATTTTGAAAATGCTCACTTTACTTTGAATGTTGACATCGATATGATTTAAGATAGGTCTTCTATACTAAATAAGAATCAAATTTATACCAAAGAAAAATAAAATTGATAATGCTAAAAGTAAAAAGTAGAAGTCCAATTAAGTAAAATATCACCCCATATAGACATTAAGATTGTCTCTTGGATTGCTAGGACGTTAAATGATATTGCTAAGAGGCAGTCATTAAAATCTTTCTACGGGAATGGAGAAGGGATTTATTTTGATCACAGGAAACAAAATTTGAAGAGTTATCAGTTAATATTCTAGAAGGAATGGTGGGTGCTAAAACTTAGATCAAGGGACAAGATAAAAAGTTTTGCTATACCCTAGCTTAGAAGGTAGAAGGGGTAAAATATTTTCATGAAATTTCAGAGATTATACTAAAAATTTAATGGGTATTTGTAAGCTTACTTTTGGCGGTTAATATGATAGTTGTGAAGTAATTACATTTATTTATTCATTTAAACTAGGGAGTATGATAATGAAAGTACCATTAAATAGATAAGGTTTCTAATTATCTTATTTTCAACGATTACTAATGTCGATAGCTCTTTAGATTTTCAAACTGGAAGGACTATGTGAAAATGAAGTGTAACTAGATTTATAAATTAACAAAGAAAAACTAAAAACTTAATTAGGATTTTCATTACTTTGGTGATTGTTATCAACATGGCTAAAGCACCATATAAGATATCAATCTTTTCTATAATGTAAAGAATGTCTAATTGCTTTCTAGTAAAATTATATATGTGCGAACGCATGATAAATAATTCTAAAGAGTTAGATACAACTACATAATTTGTGAAATGAACAATTTGCAACTATGTATGACTAATAAATGGAAAAACCAAATAGAATTTAGATGGGCATATTTAGCTTATTGACTACTGTTATTAATTATATTGAAATTAGGGTTAATACCACGAAAAACTCTAAACTGGTACACCTGTGACAAATTTACTCAAAACTAATCTTTTGACCATCAAAAACCCCAAACTAGTATACCCGTGACAATTTTACCCTCCGTTAGTTTCCGTTAAGTTTTACTGTCAAATTGTTTGGTTGAATGACATGTGGCAATTGGCGAGTGTACCGGTTTAGGGTTTTCCTCCTCAGTTTGTCACAGATTTATCGGTTTGTGATTTTTCATGGTATTAATCCAATTTAACGGAGGGTAAATTTGTCACAAGTGTATCGGTTTGGAGTTTTTGGTAATCTAAAAATTAGTTCTGGATAGATTTGTCATAAGTGTACCAATTTGGGGTTTTTGGTGGTAAAAAAATTAGTTTTGGGTAAATTTATCACTGGGGTAGCAATTTAGGGTTTTTCGTGGTATTAACCCTTGAAATTAACACCCTAGATAAATTAGTGTAGGAATATTGTCCAAAGTACATTAATGGTGGCGCAAGTGGGAGCATTAATCTTTTTCTTTTTATACAAGCGTAGCTGGAGGGATCGGAGCTTTGGATGATATGAATCAATGATATAGCTCCATTCGATGTACTTTTACGTGTATAATAGATTCGATTTTTTTTTTTGTCATCAAAGATCATATCCAGCATAGCTCATTGTAGTGTAAATAGCTTGCTGTTTGGTGATTGTGGATTTAAGCCACCACAATGCTGATCTGATAGTGATCTGTTCTTTTAATTATGCAAGCTAATGTCAGGTAATTATAAATCTCATGATGTCAGTGATGAGAGTGTCTATAGCTTTATGTTAAGTGGAGCAGCAATGCATCAAACTTATCTTTTTGATACAGCACTACCTCTAATTATATATGTTTATTATCATTGCCTACTCAGTATTTACCTGCCAAATGACCATCTAGGTCGATCGCAAAAGCATCTCTTGAAATGCAACTATACTCAAATAGCCTGAAGCCCATCATTTTGTCCGGAAACATCTAAGTCGTCGTTTTGCATCCCCATCACCATAGCCTTATGCAGCTGTCACCTTCAGCTTGTGTCTCATCAGCTTCTTTGCCACTTCAGATAGTTCAGCATATTAGAGAACTGGAATGGTTCTTCACTTTCTTTTTTTGTTTGGTGGACTCTGATGTTGAACTGATTAAACAGAATTGTTGATCTTGTGGTAAATTCTTATAGTGGTCTCAATGCATTGCTTCCGAGACACTTTAATAGTTGTGGTGCATGAATAATATTATCCAGTAAAGAATGCAATGGGTAAGATGATCTATCTCTTAATACTGTGCTTCGTTTGAGGAAGGATTGTTGGTATTAGAACTAATCAGAGTAAAAACCTCCAACAAATTACTATAGATGAAGATAGAAATAGCGGGATTGGAGAATCAATAGAGAAATGTTGTTTAAGCAATAAAACCACAAAGAGATGACATGCCAGTCTAGAAACTCTCTCTGCAGGACAGGGAACTTGCAAAATAGCATTTATAGTTGTAACTCATAGAGAGTATTGTAGCTCACATGGTTCCTGGAAAATGAAAATTTCTGATCGACTGTTGTGATCGATAGTTTGCACTTTGAGAAGTTTTACATATTTACTTCTATTTTCACACAAAACCTAAAGCATCCCTCTTAACGTCTGGATACTATATTTAAAAGGTTTTCGCATTTAACTGCTTTTACCATTTATGATGGGCCTGTCATCAATGTGTCAAAAATATTAACTTTCTTGATGGCTGATGATTTTCTGTGCTGGTGGAAACAGTGCGACATGGGATTATTCAAATTATGTTTGTGTTTTCTTCCTCGTTCTGTGCAATTAAATCTTATTTATTATAGATCTTGCACTTTTAAATGAGATCCCAAAGAAAACTCTAACTGGATTTATCCCTGCAGGTGACTCGGAGATGGTCCCTGATAAGGCTGGTAGTTACCTTTCTGTGCTTCCTTTTCAGACTACGGAGGATAAGAAACAGGGTATGTTAGTCAGTTTAGGCTTTTTGATGCTTAGTAAGCCAGATTTACTAAGATTTTTCGATAATGGAGACATCAGTTACTTTTGTATCCTTAGCTTAGATGAGATTCATGGGATGAATGATTGTGTTGGATGAACTTCAGTAGAGGTTGTCTTCAACTACTTATCTATTCTATCAGCTGAACATTAGTTACAACATCTCAACTAACAAGGCATATGATTGATTGGCAGGCACAGTCAAAACGCATGTTTCACAGAATGCCAGTATCTTCTGGAACTTACAGTATCTCTGTATATTTCCTCAGCTCTCTTTTCCTCTCTACTAAAGTTACATTCTCCTAAACTTAAAGTACCTTTATAGGAGCTTGAAGACGGTCAAGCATCGTAAATAATTAGCTTATTGGAGATGGATGTAAATGACGTACGGATTATTGGAATCCATGGGAGAGATGGCATTGGAAAGACTGCTCTTGCCAAGATCGTATATAACAAAATCTCCCTTCACTTTGACGGTTGCAGTTTTCTTGCGGAGATTGAAGAAACGATGCGACATTCTGGTGGTGTTCAGTATCTTCTAACCAAGTTGCTCTTTGATATTTTGAAAAGAGAGTATGAGGTTGCTTCTACTTTCAAAGGACTACGATTTTTGAAAGAAATATTTAGGAATATGAAAATTCTCCTTGTTCTCGATGATTTGGAAAATGGTTCCCTCCTCAAGGAGTTTGTAGGAGCTAAGCTTGATTGGTTTGGTTCTGGAAGTAGAATAATTGTCACCTCAAAACAAAGAAGCATTCTTCAAGGCTTTGTTGATCGAGGGATGGCTTGTACTTACGATGTTAGTCCAATGGATGATAATCGAGCTTTCGACCTTTTCGGGCAGTATGCAAGGGGATTGAGTTATAAACTACATCCTTATGATGAAAATGCAAACACAATAGTCAAGGCTGCGGAGGGACTTCCCCTACTTGTCAAAGTTTTCGGTTCTTTTTTGCATGGTAAAGGACGAGAAGAATGGATTAAATTCAAAGATCTCGTACAACTATTTCAGGAAGATTACCAGAGATTCTGGGCATAATTTATGAAGCATTAGATGAAAAGCAAAAGCAGATGTATCTTGATATTGCATGTTTTCTCCCAGATGTGGATTGTAGGATTGCCTCGTATATGTGGCATCATTATGATCGTCCTTATGATGAAATCGAGGTCCTTTGTCGTAGGTCCCTAATAAAAATGGAAGAAAATAAAATAGGCATGCACAGCATGCTAAGGTGCCTTGCCAGGAAGATAGTTTATGAAGGTTTTCGTGATCCAGGAACATGTGTTAGATTCTACGTTCCTGCCATAGCCCACGACACAAAGAAGAGGAAAAGGGTATGCCGGGGAAAAAAACGTAGCATGCAGGCCTTACTTCTTTTTTGATTTTCTTGAAAAGGTTTCACGTATGAAGCATTTTCTTTGCCTAATGATCCATAGTAATTGTTTAATCGTCTGAAGACTTCCACATGTTTCTCTACTTGACTTTTGTGGTCCATCGTGCAGGGAACAGACCACCTTAACACTATTATGGCAGGCTTTGAGATCCTACCGAGCACGACATTTCTCAGCTTGGGTCGCGCCAATATTGGTGGAAGATTTGCAGATGCCTTATTGAACGTTCGGTGGCTTCACTGGCAAGGGTGCCCTCCAGATTTTGAAGCAGTCAGCATTCATTTGAGGAACCTAGTTATTCTTGATCTTTCGTGGAGTAAGGTTACAGAATCCTGGGGCGGTTGGAAAGGAATTAAGGTGGGTTTATAGCTCATTTGTTTTTGTGTTTGTGTTGGCCCTTAAGTAAATTGAGAGTTCTACGCCATCTGAACATTTTCTGTTGTTTTGCAGATGGAGCGTTTGAAAGTCATGAATCTCACAGGTTGTGTGGACTTATTAGTTAGCCCCAGCTTCTCTTGTTACCCAAATTTGGAGATACTGATCATGGAGCGATGTTCTCGATTGGTTCATTTGGATCCTTCAATTAATGATCTGAAGCTCTTGGTTTCCCTGAATTTGAGGTTTTGCTTCGAACTTAACATGTTGCCAGTGGAAATGGATGGGATGAATGCTTTGAGAGATCTCCTGATTGATGGCACTTCCATTCGGGAACTTCCTGAGTCAATAGGTAGATTGGTTCGACTGCAAATTCTTAGTGCCACTAATTGCTCCTCTTTGGTTCGTGTCCCTGGTTCAGTTTGTGAACTTCAAGCTCTTTCAGTGCTAGCCTTGGATAACGCGAAAATTCTTGAAGTCCCTGAGTCAATTGGAGACTTGGAGGAACTTAGATGCCTGTCTTTGAGGGATTGTCGTGAGCTAGGAAAGCTTCCGGAATCCATTGGCAAGTTGGAAGAGTCATTAGTAGAGTTAGATATCTCGGGTACGGGTATCTCAAGATTGCCCGATTCAACTAAAAACCTGCGGATTTTGAAAGTGCTGAAGATGGATTCTTGTTTCATAAGAGAATTTCCTTGTGACATAGGACAGTTGATAAACTTGGAAGTAGTTCATGCCTCCTGGTGCAGGAGTTTGGAGGGAGTCATTCCTAGTGATATTTCGAAACTACATCGTCTCAGAGAACTGAGGCTTCGGGGTACACGTATATCCAGCCTTCCATCAGAAATCCAGTTCATGTCAAGTCTTCAGATTCTGGATTTGCTACACTGCCACATTCTCAAAAAGTTGCCTACCCTACCCTCTAACCTAATTAACCTATATGTAGATCCCAACTTGATGCCATAAATGTAAGAATCTTAAAAATTCTGCCATAGGTGGTATTTATCGTGATAAATAATACAATGTTAGTTTGGATTAGATGGTTGAATTTTGTCATTTGTTGTGCTTAGTAGGGTTGATTAGATTATGTCACCCGCAATTTCAAATTTGTGTCGACCTACTCTTCTCAATCGAATATGTTTCCCTCTTTCTTCTATTTTTCTGTATTTCATATCAATGTGATGGATATGTATCAATTTAGCGTAGTCATGAATTTCAATGACTGTCGGGAATATATTCATAGAAACTATGATAATCTAACAATACACATGCACTGAATAAGAGAAAATGCTCATGTCATTGAAAATTAACCAAAGAGAAATGCTTTGTGTCGTTGGAAATTTGCCCTATTGTACATATTAGTCGGGAATTACTTTTTCGAACTTTGACGACGTCGCACGATAACACCCCCCAAATTTTGAGAAGTTACATATTATCCTCTTGTGCTTTGGTTTTTGTTTTTGTCACTAATTTTTTTCCCTCTGCATAGCAGATTAAAAGTTCCCTAAAAAGGGACTTGCTCTTTTTTTCTTGTCTAGAATCATCACTACTACATGGTGAATGAAGTTAAGAAAAAAGAAAGGATGTATGACTAATGAAGTTAACAACAATTCAGCTGAGTTTGTCAAGAAACATAATTTAATCCAATCTCAAATAACACTTGATAGTTATGTAGACTAGAAAAATTAGCCGTTGCGACAAATATCAAAGTTCAAGAGTTAACCTGTAACTTTTCAGAGTTTGGGGTCCATTGTGCGACATTATCAGAGTTTAGGGGAAAAAATTTGTGACATTTTAAAATTTGGGAGCTATTGCAAAATAATGCCTAATTATCCCTGATATTATAATTGTTTGGGCTTCTCGAAATGATTCACCTGTACAAATGTCGGATTGTACCTAGTACTCCTCGGGCCATCATCAAGATAAAAAGTACAAAAAATTCAAATTGGTTGGATCTGTTAACTTCTCAAAGAATAAAGTCAGCGCTACTTATCTATCAAAACACTTAACATTATAGCATACATACCTTGAACAACTTAAATTTTAAAAGAATTGGCAATGATCTCCGAACTATAAATTTTCTAGCAATAAAGTAGATGAACAATATTGAGTTCAAACGTATTTCGGTTTCAGCTTCATATCTTTTCTTGAGTTGCTCATCGACAATTGTTGCAATTATTTGTATGGAAAGTGCTCATGTCGTCGGAAATTAATGATAGAAATTATGCTTTATGTCGTTGAAATTAGCCGTATTGTACATATTAGTTGCTGAAGAAAAGCAATTAACCTCATGAATGACCACCACTTTCTTAATGAAACATTTCATTTATAAATGTTTTGTTTGTTAGACCCACGTCATACATATGGGTCGGTTTACACCCCAGTTCATAAGTGTTTGAAACCCGAACTGGGACTACACATCCAAGTTACACTAGCTGCGTTCTTTTATCCACAGCTCATGTGTTTTGTTGAGTAGATCATTAGCGTGTTTGTTTTCGGTCAATATTTCAATTTGAACTAAGGATGATCTATTAATTCTAGGGGTGTTAAACGGGTGGGTCGGGTCGGGTAAAAAAGGGTCCGCCCATATTGACCCATTCAACCCGTTTTAATCCATATTCATGAAGTGTAAATCTAACGGCCTATACCTGATCCGACTCAACCCTTATTTTAAAAGACTTTAATATCAAATCCAATTTAGGAAAAAACTTGTTTCTTATAAATTTTTAAAAATATTTATATTGCTAAAATGCTTCAATGCAATATAAAATAAGTGAACAATATTTATAATTTAAAAAAATAAAATTTAAATATTTTTAAATATCTTTTTTTTCTTTTTTTTAAAAAGAAATTTTTAATTTTTTTCCTTCTTCTTCGGCCGGCCGCAAGTGAGCTCGGTCAAATCGGCGAGAAGCTTGTCGGATGAGCTCGAGCTCGCCGATCTGGATGAGCTTGGAGCTCGCCGGACAAGCTCAAGCTCGTGATCTAGACGAGCTGAAGCTTGCTCGGCAAGCTCAAAACTTGCCCATGGCCGGTCGCCAGGAATCAGAAAAAGAAAAGGAAAAAAAGAAAAAGAAAATTAAAAAATCAATTTTAAAAATATATATATATATATATATTTTTTTCAAATGACATGTTACGATAATATGATTCACTTAAGCTACTTACCCTACAAGGCTACAACTTAATAACTTACATGGGTTGAATATGGGTTTACAAACCTATTTTCGACCCATGTAAACTTGAGCTTTAATGTTGCAAACCCATTTTGACCTGTTTTTAAAATTTCAAGTGATCCATATTCAACCTAGTGGGCCTACTAAAAATGAGTTAATAAATGGGTTTCTGACCCATATTGCCACCTCTAATCTATTCCTTGGATGGGTTGGTTCCCCGCCCAGTGATACCAGACTTTCTAGAGTGAATCTTGGCCTAAAAGACAAAAACTTGCCCAAACTTAAAAACTACATTGCATCTCAGCATGAAAGGGTTGGTCTTGCTTCCTTTTGCAGAATTTTCTTTG